TGGACGTTGTTGGTATTGCACTGGTCTTCACGACGGGTATCTTGGTTGTGACTAGCCGCTTCTCTGTTGATCCCAGTATTGCTGGTTTGGTGCTTTCGTACATTCTTACCATTGTGCAGATGATTCAGTTTACTGTTCGTCAGCTTGCAGAGGTAGAGAACAACATGAACTCGACGGAACGTATTCATCACTATGGAAGCCAATTAGAGGAAGAAGCGCCCCTGCACATAGGCCAGGTGCGACCAACGTGGCCGGAGCATGGCGAGATTGTGTTTGACAAGGTCGAGATGCGGTATCGCGATGGACTTCCCTTGGTTCTCAAGGGGCTGAGCATGCACGTACGCGCAGGCGAGCGGATTGGAGTCGTGGGGCGCACGGGAGCGGGCAAGTCGTCCATCATGTCAGCACTTTTCCGGTTGCAGGAGTTGTCTGGGGGATCGATTGTTGTTGATGGCGTAGACATTGCCAAGATTGGTCTTCACGACCTGCGGTCCAAGTTGGCGATTATCCCCCAGGACCCAACGCTGTTCAAGGGAACGATCCGATCGAACCTGGATCCTTTCCACGAGCATTCCGATCTGGAGCTCTGGTCTGCGCTGCGACAGGCCGATCTCGTGTCGACGGAGCAGGCCATGGATGACCACTCTGGGCGAATTCATCTCGACAGTGTGGTTGAGGAGGAAGGACTCAACTTTTCGCTGGGGCAGCGGCAGCTCATGGCTCTAGCGCGTGCGCTGGTTCGCAACTCGCAAATCATTGTGTGTGACGAAGCGACTAGTTCGGTGGACTTTGAGACTGACGCGAAGATTCAACAAACGGTAAGCAAGAAGCAAACGTCATTGTTGGTGACGTTGGGACACCAGGCTAACGGTTGTGTGTGCGTGCGCAGATTGTGGAGGGGTTCAAGGGCAAGACACTATTGTGCATTGCTCACAGGTTGAAGACGAGTAAGTTTGACGTGTGCAGGGTAGAAAGCTAGGATAACGGGAGCTGAGACTGACGTGGTGGCCTAGTCATCAATTACGACCGCATTTGCGTCATGGACGCAGGGCAGATTGCGGAGCTGGATTCGCCACTGCGCTTGTACGACCAGGGCGGCATTTTCAAGGGCATGTGCGAGCGATCTGGTATCAAGAGAGAGGAAATCGCAGGTGCAGGTGCAGGTGCAGGTGCACGATAATAGATATGAACCAAGGAAAGGGAAAAAATAGAGGCAGCGGATATAGGCGCGTGATTGGCTGGGGGCGGGAAAGCGGCCTAAAAGGGTAGACTAAGGATGCAGCTGGGATTGCTAGCAAGGCTGCACACGCACAGTGATGGATAGGCGTGGGCATTGGCGTTGGCGTTTGGGGCGGCATTTTTTGGGAGGGGGGCTTGGGCAGCATGACAAAACGGCCTGTTGTTTTGGTTTGAGGGCGGAGAAGAAGAGAGAAAAAAGGCAGAGAGGGAGAGGGAGAGGGAGAGGGAGAGGGAAGGAGCGGGAGGGAGAGACGGCAGGCGAGGGGCGGAAGGCACGACACAGACAGCGGTTTCTAGATGTATGCCATGCAAATACCGTGATCGTCATGAGACAAGAACAACTGGGGTGGTGGAGACGGATGGGCGAGTGCGAGAGGGTGCCACGGCCAGCGTAGTGGGAGATGGAACAGGCCCAGGCGGGGCTGGCCAGACGAGTGCGACACGGGGAGAGCGGTTTGGGGGCGTGATGGGTGGCGAGTTTATACTGACTACTTAGTTAGGTGGGTGTTAGTGGTAGAGACGGACAAGTGCGATGGATAGCATCATGGTTCCAGGCTACTCTGGGGACGGAGCAGAGAGAGAAAGAGAGCGAGAGAGAACGAGAAGGCGCACAGAGAGACAGCAGTTTGCATTAGCGGGCTGGTGGGCTGGTGCACAGGCCTGGCGGAACCCTCAATCTGGCACCACGCCATGGTTTCCATGCATTAGCATTCTCAGCGTTATCTAATCTCTCGCCCGCCCCGGCCGCCGTTGAAGGAGGAGTAGTATACTCGGTACATACGTATCTCTGACCATCCATCTACCTAGGTACATGTGTATAGACCCAACTAAGGCACGTCTTTGTCTCTACGTATGCATGCAAGCGGCTATCGGCACCCATGCACGTCTTGGATCATTTTCCCACTGCTTTGGGCAGGCCAAAAGCTTCTTTTTGCGCCTTGTCTGCGTGCCCTCGCCGCCGTGCCGCTCGAGAGGTCTGGGCCAGTGGGCGGTGGGCAGATGGCGCGCCCCGCCAGAAAGGCGCCATGTGGTGGTGGCTATGGACTATGGACGATTTGGATAGCTGGGGAGCTTGTCCAACGCTGGTGCGGGTTCGGGTTTGCATGAGAAAGAGACAGGCAGAGGCAGAGGCAGAGACAGACAAGCAAAGCGCCCAAGCCTCTCGGCCAGGCGCTCCGCGTGCATCAAGCCGCACAGAGATTGGCCGGTCGCGCTATCCGCTCGGGCCTCGCTTGCACTTTTTGCTCAACGCCAAGCCAGAGCCAAACCCAAACCCCAGCTGCGCCGCACCCTCGCTGCTTGTACTGCACCACCAAAGCGGCCCTACAGCGGCCACCATCCAAACCACACGGCACACGCTCACGCGACGACAAGGGCAATGGCAACGCCTTGGACGTGGGCGTGGCCATGTGCGTGGGCGTGTGCGTCTTGTTTTGCTTGGGCCCAGCTAACCATCATCTGCGAGGCGGCGCCGTGGTTGAGCGAGGGCGAGGAGAAAACGCGGGTGAAGATCAGGGACGGGCAAACCAAACGCCCACCTGCAGTTTGCTTTCCCTCGTCAACTAATCGACTCAGACGTGCCTTGATGGCAGGGACATGGCTCCGAACGGCCTAGCGGGCCCGTATGATTGCCCCCAAGTCTGGAATCCCCGTTCACACGGGCCTTGTTCAGCCACTGGGGGGGGGGACACTGCTCCTTCATATCTTCTCGCGCACTGCCGCCCGCCCGTGACGCTCCTTGCACACAGGTCTCGCTCTCTCCACTGCCATCGAGCCCTTTCACTCATCCAGCCGCGCCCCAGTCCTTTGCAGCTTCAAAGTGCCCCTAGACGGACCTGCTGCTTCCACAACTGCATCGCCGCTCCCTCACTGTCCGCCGCCGCTCGTCTCACATCCGCTCTACTTGCCTACTCGCCTGTCCTTAACCCCCTACCTTGGCCCACTAACACACGACGCCGCCTCGTCACCGTGTCCGGCCCATGCTGCGCCTGCTGTGAAGCTTCCCCTCTCTCTCTCCTCTCCCTCGCGCCGCCGCAAGTAGTCGCCCCGCCGCTGTTCATTGCTTGTCGCCTCCACCTTTGTGCTACTCCATCCAACCCCCTGACGCCGCAATGGCTGCCAACGAGAAGAACGAGCCCGTCACCTTCGGCGCCAGCATCGAGCGCTCCTCCAGCCCCGCCATGCCCGCCGCCACACAGCAGCTGCTGCGCTCGCCGCATTCGCAAGATTCAACCATGACCACCGCCACTGCTACTGCCGACGCCGACCAGGCCAAGAAGGAGTGGACTGCCGATGCCTCCAACCCCTACTCGGCCTTTTACAAGCACCCAGAGGCCCTGCGCGAGACGCGCCCCTCCATCAATGACAGCATTCCCCCCTCAAAGGCACACCTTGGTGTCACCGAACACGATCTCGAAGGCGCCGTGCCCCTGTCGGTAGCCTCGACACAACAACAATCCAAGTCGTCTGTCGACGGTCGCGTCAAGGAGTGCACCATGTGGCCTACACGACAGGCGGTGCTCGAGAAGCGCAAGTCGTACCAGCGCAAGCGCGGCTGCGCCTTTTTCCGCAATCTGACCAACAAGCAACGGCTGTGGGCCAAGATTGTCATTGCTCTCCTCGTCATTGCTGCCGCCGTCGGCCTGGGCGTCGGTATCTCGCGAGCTGTTGGCGGTGGTGTATGGGCTGGCAATGGCCAGAGCAAGCAGATACCACACAACTGAGCTTCACGACCCATATATCACCCACCAGATATGCCATGGTGCGTCGGCTTCGGCGTCCACTGCACCCGTGTGCAACTGCCAACTCCCTCGGTCAGAGCTGCTTTCACGTCTCTTCGCTCACACTCACGACCTTGTCATGCTTCCTCTTCCTCTTCACAAAAACCTCTTTTTTCTTCTGGAATATCCTTTGCATCTATCATATTGTTTCTTATGGTAGAGTGCACATCACTTGATCATGTCTGCGCTTTTTCATCCCGGCTTGGAGCCTGCCCTTTTTCGGCGGATTCGGCTTTTCTCTCGGAGCGGAGTTTTTTTTTTCTATATTTGGGGGGGGGGGCGTACACATTGGTGTTCTTTCGTTGAATTGGTCGGCATTCTGTACCTTGCATTTGAAGCGGCGGAGTCCAATATTTGGGGCGTTTAGAAACATGTTTAGTCTGGCAAAAGACCTGTTGCCGGTTATATGCAATACGAATGAGCCGATTGAGCGATTACCTCCTCTTTATTGTCAAGAGAGGCTTTCAAAGTACCTGACGTTGGAAATCCTGTTGTGCTTTTTTTCTTGTTTGTCGTTTTGTTTTCTCGGTGCGATATTATTCCGAATATGCATCCCCTCCCGAGCCGACCCGCCTGTCATCGAAGACTCACACGAACCTATCATGTGTTTTTATGCAGAAGGGGGGTGTGCGGCGGGATTACATACGCCCCCGCTTAGTCGAGCCCGCCACAAAACAACCATACATGTGGGAGGATAGGGTAGGGTAGGGCATGTATACAATACATCAACGTGTCACTTGACTGTCTTGCAACAATAACCCCACTCTTCCTACTTCATCTCTTCTCTACATCCACATACTACTACTACACATCTTTCACACACACACACACACACACACACACACACACACACACACACACACACCCTTCTACCCATTGCTCACGCGGCACCCTCATCATCATCAATGTTATCAAAAAAACCCATACTAGTTTATTTATTTATTCATCTATACATTTATGTTTAACATGTATACCTAATGCTTACATGAACCCAGGACCCCTCCGTCCCAAGCTCCTCCCTTGCAACGCCCTAGCCGCATCGTCATTCGGCTGCGCATTTCCAAATCCACACCCGCCATCTCGCTCCTGCGCTACCACCGGTCCCGCACACTTGCCGCTCTTGAACCCGCAGCAGCTGGATGCGCAGTCGGCGTCGGATGTACACGCGCCCGTGATGAATTGTGTGCCTTTAGCTTGAGTCGGGGCTGCTGCTGCTGGTGCTGCTGGGGATGCTGCTTCTTCGCCTACCATGGTTTGTCCGGATGCCGGTGCTTGCGGTTGCCGTTGCGGTGGTTGAGTGCCGCCCGCGGCTTTGTTGCCGCCGTTCAACGCATTGTTGTTTGGTTGTGCGTCGCCGAAGCCACAGCCTTCGCCCCGCTCGTTGGCTACGAAGGGTGCGGCGCATTTGCCGGATGTGAAGCCGCAGCAGCCGGATGCGCAGGCGGCGTCGGAGGTACAGGCTCCCGTGATGAATTGCGTGCCTTGGGCTGAGGTGTAGAGGGAGACTTTGGGTTGATGGTGTTAGTTTGGGAGGGGGGTTGGAGTGTGATGGGTAGGAGGCGGGGGACATACGGGAGAGGAGAGTGAGGAGTTTAAAGATGGGTGCCATTTTTCTTGATATTATTTCTTCCAATGTCGAGACTGATGTGAATGAAACCTTGTGTTTTTCTTTTCTTCGCCTGGAAGAAGTAAATAGTATATTATAATAAGAATTGTAACTCGCAGAATGCTCGTGAAATGATGCCTCAGTCGTACCTTCCCTCCTCCCTTCCCCCTTTTATACGTCCCCTCTTCCCTTCCCTTCCTCCCTCTCTCTCATTTTCCCCACTTAAAAGAGCCTACAACTTCGCCACCTCCTCCCGTAAGAAATCCCAATGCCTAAGCACCTCCCCGGACCATACAAACCCAGCACCACGATACCCACCTTCCCCCTCCAACACACAAACTGCCCCAGGCCCCTTGACTTATCCTAGGGCAAAACCTCTCCCCCTCCGCGCGCTAACTTCCGACGCCTTTGTTTCGCGCCAAAGGGTGGGCTTTTCTTGGTACGGAAAGAGCCCTTTTTTTTTGTATGTGTACGAATTAGATGGGGGGGGAAGGGGGAGGCGCGGTTGCTTGCGAGGCAACGAGGGCATGGGCAAGGGAAGAAAGGTGGTAAGACGGTGTGTGTTTTGTGCATTCGAGGAAACATTATGCGTTTTGGGGATCGACCTTTGTAACGGTGTGTTTTTTTTTATTTTTGGAGGGTGGGGGGCCGGGGGGATTTTCGAAAGGGGAAGGAAGAAGAGATGCGGTGGATGTTTGGGTATGTATGATGAAGTGCAAGAACGAAGAAGAAGAAGAAGAAGAAGAAGAAGAAGAAAAAAAAGGCGATGTGATGGAAATCTTTTTTTTATATCTAGGTTGCGAAGTTCATTTAGATTTCTTCTCACTATTGTAAAGACTTATATGGATACGCCTTCTAAGTGAATCCCCTAAGTGTTGGCGATGAATAACACCATTTTTTTTCGTAGTGGCCTCCGACTACATGATTCGCTGCGGCACAGCTATCGTCTGACAAAACAAGTGTCGCATATGGACGCTTGGGGGATGCGTGTTTCGAAATGTTGGCGTTACTACCCCCTCATTTTTTTTTGCCACCTCAGCGCTAAAGTCTTGCTTAGGTAAACCAGATCATCTAGGATTATGATGAGAATGGGAGGGTGGTAAGTACATTGGACTGAGTAAATGGGAAGAAGGGGAAGATGGTGGAAAAAAAAGATAATACCAGATTGTGTATCTGTGAGCTGCGTTTGAGACTGATTTCTTTTTTTTTGATTCTTATTTCTTGCAAATGGTACTATCACAGGGGTAACAGCGCAGTGTTGTATCCTAAGCAGCATCATTCATTCCGTATCTCGGCGATGGCGTTGCCGTTTTTATTTCATTTTTATTTTTTTGTCGTGCTGGGTAAGTGTGAACCTAGCGTGGATATTCTTGTCTCACTAAAAAGCAGAAAAGTGGCTTTTATCTTGCTTTTATCCTTGCCGAGATAAAGTCAACGGTCGCTAAGAACAAAAAAAAGGAAGCTACTGATATGAAGATGGGCAGTGGATTTGCGCGGTAGATTGTTGTGGACATTGGTTTGGGTCGGAGAAGCGCTAATAGGGGTTAGTATCTGCAGTCGTGGTGTTGATGATCCACTGCGGGAGGATGGTGGGTTTGTGCATGTTGGATGAGTTGGCTAAGCTACACGTGGTGATTATGTGTATTGCGTTGCTTTTGGACGTGTGCAAGTACCGTTGGTGCAAAGTGAAGAGGGATCGTCGGTGCATGCAGAGTTGCAGAGCTATATGTCTCATCACTATTGCAGCACGTAGGAAGCGGCCCGGCTAGTGAGCAAACAAAACATCTTGATAGACTGCATGCCCATGCAAAACGAATCTCACCCCATGGTAGAATCATACACAACAACAACACAAGTGTATTGGTTTCGGTAGACTTGCCCTATTACCAATCTATTGTCAACAATGGACCAAACATGCTGAAACACTTGGTGACTCTGAAATGGAAAGCATAAATCATGCACGACATATCTGACATGAACCCTGTTATCTCACATTTTGATAGACAGTACTTGGACATGACAGTTCTGAAAGTAACAAAACACTGAAAAGCAGGTGTAACGGGTATTTTGCAGTATATTTCAACTATCCTATCTCAATTGACTATTCCAAACAAGAACCGAAAAATGACAGAAACAAAGTAGAAAACTCTCAACGCCTATGGAAGTTTCGCCAGAGTCTCTCAAGTGAAAATTTGAAAAAAGGGCCTTGGTCGAAGGCTACAGCGAGCGTAAATGGCACGTAGGGATGCCTGGATGGACGGCCCTTGGCTGGAGAATGGAACGAGCATTGTGCAAACAATAAAGGGTATAGAACCAGCTGGCAAGAAAGAGAAAAAGGAGACAGCTTTCAGTCAAAAAGTTTCAAAGAGAGAAGAAGAAGAAGAAGTCGTAGGCTCGAGTGATGCAATGGCCAAGTATCCAACAACGACAACATCAAAGTCGGCCAGAGTATCAACGTATCAAAGCATATCCCAGCAGTCCATAACCCCTGAGTATCTCGGTATGTGGTGTTGTAAGGGGGTGGGGGAGGGGAATCGAGCCATTATCGAGAGGACCCAAAGGAGCGATTGTATTGTGTCTGGTTTGCGTTGGTGGTTGCGGCGGCGGATTGAAGGGCCTTCCAGGCCACTTCAGCGGCTTCTTCTCGGGATTGCTCGAGGTAGCGGTAGTCTCGCCATAGCGCGGCTCGGTATTCACGGCCATGGACAAAGACACTGCTTGACCAGGCTGTGCGTATGCCTGTGGTTGCCAGTGCGTCAGCAAAATACTGGTAGCAAAGTGGGCGATATTGACAAGGTCTTGTTGAGACATGCATGGGGCTACAAACCTCGTGGGTCAGAGTAGTCCTGGAACTGGGGCTGGGCAATCTGGTTGGTAGCGCAGTAGTCTGCAACGTCTTTTTTAGCTAGGTTACACGGGCGAGAGCATCGGTCTGCGCACGCTGTAGCTTTTGCACGTAGCTCTCCTGTGTTGCCATTGTGCGAGATGGGGGGACTGCAAGCAAGAGACGAAGGCGTGATGCTTTTAACAAAGTTTGTGGTGGGGTAAAGGCTTCGCGAGTGGGGATCAGGGAAGATCAGGTATGTGTGAGCGAGGACTGGGTAGGAGCACGTTGCGTGGCCATTAGTTCTGCCTCTGTTTATAGTCGAGCAGTGCTTCGAGAGCCTCATTTTCGGTATCCTGTAGGAGCAAGAGGGCGGCTTTGCCACATAGACAGGTCAAAAAGGAAGCAGCCCGCAGCCGCCGCAACCCCCCCTATGTGCTTCGGAACAAAGCAGCTGGGTGATGGCATGCTGCGTTGGCAGGTTTTTCCCGCCATAATTGGCCGGCAGAAAGATAATCGAGCGAGGAACTGCGGGGGTAGCGAGACAGAGAAGGCGACCAAGCAGAAACTAAACCCGCCAGGACCCGGTACGGACACCATGACAGGACGTTGCGTGTGGTCGAAACCACAGGTCTGGGATGGCAAGGCCAATGAGGGGATACGGATAAATTTTGGTCTCTACTGTGTTACCGAGTTCAGCCTGGTTCGGCTATGAGCTGGCACTGAAGGACGAAAGAGAGTTGCTGCCATGGCTAGTTTCTCCATGCCGACGCAGTGCCAGAGGTGTCGGCAAATTGGGCCCTACCCTCGTCGGCGCTCGTCCCGCTTGCGGTTAGAAGGATAAAGGGCCGTGCCGTTTCCGTACCGTGGACATGCCATCTGAAAGCGCGTCATCTCAAAGGGAAACCATGCTTCCTTCACGTGTCGAGGCTGCAACGAGGGCAGACGAAGCAAAAGACGGCATTAAGCGAGAGCGAGTGGCATTGTATTGGGGCCGTGGCCTGTCTGCACCGCGAGACCCACCGAGATGAGGTGGCATGGGCAGCGTGGTCAGAGGCGGTCCGTCAATATCAAGCACTGTGTTCCTGGGGTGAACTGCTCAGCCCTGCGATCTCCAGGTTCGTGCGTAGAGATGCAGCCCGCGTCACATCCCAATACTGCAGCCTGTCCTGTTCCTGAATTCCTGTGCTATGGCCATAGGTTTGGTGTCCTGCCAGCCAGCCCGGCCGCCGTCAACGCTAGCCAGCTCTTCACGACGGCGCTTGCTCGGTCTTCGCTTGCTGCGGATGAAGCGAAAGTGGCAGCTGGACAAAGGCACCGCACAAGCCTCCCGGCGGGGTGAGCACACCCTCGTCCTCCGTCCACGCTGCGCTGGCAGACGTGTTGTTCAATCCAAAGCCCTCCACGGTTGCTCCAAAGCCTGGCGGTTGTGACGTGTCGTACAGGTTGCAGATATTGCGCTAACCCAAACGACGCCACGATGCACGTGCCTACGGCCACAGTTACTAAGTAACCTTTGCAGGATCCTCGGGAAGGCCCACAATATCGCGCCCTACAAACTCCTGCACCCAACGCGCAACGCATCCTGCTTGTTAATTTAGTCGTGCATGCACCTCCGCCACTCTTGGGACGACTGTGGAACCCGCCCTCACTTCTCGGCCTCTGCACCGACGGGTGCCGCCGGCCGCGCATGAACGGCCGCTACGTTCGGTCGATGCAACCGTCTTCTAGTGCCCATGGCAAGGTTGCGCATCCTCGAGCGTCAAAATCAGTGAAACCATGCGTCACGTGTCCACAGAGGAGCGTCGTCATGGTGGTGTGCACAGCCTTGGTTGCATGGTAAACATGACGTCTTCTTTTTGGCCTGGCCAGAGCTCATCATCAACCGCCAAGATTCCAGTCAACATGGCAGGCGTTGGCAAGACATGTCAATTCATGCCCCTCCAAATTACCATTACACGCTGATGTTGAAGCCTCCGCGGCCATGCACCAACCTGGCGTTTTCTAGACTGTCTGGCCATATTGCCTGCTGACGTGGAACTCATCTTTATCCAAGACGTGATGTGGTGCCAATCGATAAATCCTTTCCAGCAACAATATCGCTCGATAGATTGTTGTCTATCGCAGTGGCGCACCAACACAATACTGGAAATCTGCTAATCTGCCCTTGTTTGAGCTCCTGCAACTTCTCCAGAGTAAATATATTCTGCATAGTAGCCTGTCATCCACAAAGTCGCCATCGAGTTGCAACCCGACATGGCACTAAATTGCTCCTTCGACCAGCCAATATCCGCATCAGACACACCTACATATCACCATCTCTCCAATCCAAACAAGTCTGTGTTCGACAGCAGGCCATTACGTCGACAGGATATCCACTTGCCGACGATTAGTCCAACACGGGGCAGACGTACAGCGAACATCTTTGGCTTGTCTGCGAATTCATGTCGGCCTTACTTGTTAACAAGTCTTTCCGAACCGTGTACGTGGCAGAGTGATCCATGCTGTGAACAGGTCGCATAAAGGGCGTCAGCCCAGCCATGGACATGGAGCTCGTTGCCATTCAACCAACACGACTGCATACACTACACCGTCACTCAGAGTTACACGTGTTTACAGCAGGATATAGACACAGTCATACAGAGCTAAAGCTGCACCCCCTCTTTAACGCCACATACAGACTGCCACGATGATATGATCTTCTTTGTAGAGGTCTTTAGAGGTCTGATTTTCAAGGCCGTCTCGCCTCTTCATGCGCCTCACTACCTCAAAATGGATATTACAAGCGATCTGCACGGGTCCATGCTCTGCAAGAATGCGTGTTCAGCTCAGTGTTTGACCCTATACCTCATCCATAGCAGGCTTGACTTCGCCGTAAAGCAGGAATTGGGCGAAAATCGCCCCATCAAGAAGCATTGTGCCTAGACCATCAACCAACCAGGGAAGGTTTACCAGTATATGGCTACCATAGATTTCTCGCGCTTCGCAGGACTCAAGGCAGCTATTTGAAACAGCGCTAGTCGAGTCAAACGCGAGAATCGATAAGACATAGTATGTAGAATTCCCCAAGCAAGCGAAAAGGAAAAACAACACAGACAGTCCCTCCACAGACTTTCGGTGCCAGTTCAGGATCAGTTGGGGGGAAGCGTGAACCAAAGTAAAGTGCGGCGCAAAATCAACCGAATATTTGACCCCAAATGTCGAACTCAGGGATCTCCCGACCAGGTGCTAGACCGTCATGGTTTGCGGACTCTTGACTCATATACCAGCAAACTATGCCTGTTGTACAGACCAAAAAACCATCGCCATGTTTCTTACATACATGCATAAGTAGGTATGTGTAGTGGGATTTGCAGGCTCTCTGAATGCATTAGTCCAGTTGTTTTTATTGTTTTTGTTTGCGCTTCACCTCTCGTTAGTTATCATGTGCCCATCGAGTAGTGTTGTCCTTTCGTTCGGATTTTCTGTTTCGCTTGGCCTCAGCGTGGGTGGTGGCGCACTATCATCCTTCCATGTAAAGCCTCTGTAGAAGAAGCATTGAGCCAACAATACTACGTCGGCCACAGTAAAATATATGGCAAGGATGATCATGGTCGGCCGGACGCCTTGGAGTACAGCACCAACGACATTAAAAATGTCGCCTAGTAGCCATACCACGAGGAAGTGAAGTGATAGACCATGGTATGAACCTCGACGGAAATTTTTGTAAACCTGTGGGTTGAATACCACAACCCACGTCACAATGGAAATGGTTCTATTTGATTAGAAAAAAAAGTTAGCATAGATAGAACTGAAGATAGTGCCATGATGGAATGTATGTGCCTAATTCTACATCGCCGATGAAAACCACATACCCACATATGCCAGAAAAGGCATCGGTATTTACATCCGGTAACGATGCAAGAGCTGCCATCTTCAACGGTAACGTGGAGAGAGGTACAAGAGTTGCCAGTTGGTAAGAAACAAGGCTTGTGAGTGGGTAGCCCCTAGGAGTATATATTCAACAACGCCACTAAGAACAAAGCAGACCCACATCTATCAAAGCTGAAATTAAATTATATAAGGAAATCCGCATCATCTCTTTGCAGAAAGGGCGAAAAAAGGTATTGCGATGCTTACCGAGGGGCAGATGGGTGCCAAACCGCTGTTTTAAATCAATGCAGCCTCTTTCGCCGAGAAGGACGCATTCCCACTCCCTGGATTACTACACATCCAGCACCAAGCGACATAAGTAAGTCAGAGGTTTTCATCTACGAATTATCCATGATATAGCGACAAATAATGCAACGCTATAACGAAACGACTTAACAAGGTTGGAGGAGGGGAAATTGGCTTGTAAGCGGGTTTGGTGGTGAGAATCATACCTAGCAAGCTCTGTGTGTATTTTTCATGCATGTCTGACTACATCGGGATGTGTCTTACCAGTTTACTACAGAAATCGTCGTAGAGGTTGAACAAGGTATATCTGAAGTCACTAGTCATCCTATCGAGCGTATCAGAATGTAGTCTAGGAGATCTCTTAATAATAGATGGGCAGAACTTAAATAGTCTTTTGTATACTCTACTATGCTATAGAAATTGTATCAAGAGACAAATCAAACTAAGATAACGATATCTTTGTGGTGAGATTTGATAGTGAACGATAAGCTATGTTCATGATATTTTAACAACCACGTTGAATAAAGAGGTCAATAGAAATTGAAATCAAAATTGACTACAGAGTATTTACTGGCGAAATTACTCCGTTCCATTACACTCATTTCTTCCAGTTCTGCCATTCGCTGGATACTTAGTGTTAATGGGATAGCCTATCACGTGACTTTCTTGCTCCGCGATAATTATTACTTTATAACATTGACCCCTATAGATCGATGGCCCTCAATTGTGCGTCCTCTGTTTCCTTGTATAAATTATTAAGGAAGGTGCTTAATGCTGAGGTGTATTCAATGTCCGTGGTTTATCAAGTCCACTATATAGCGCATATTGTGCCGTTACCAATCGACAGAGAATTAGATCCAAACACAACCAGGAGAGCAAGCAAGATTCGCCCGTGATTTTGCTGCTGAGACAAGCAGAGAGATATTCTCGTGTCAGATTCGTATGTAGATCTTTGCTTCCCCTACCCCTCCCACGTAAGACTCCAAATTTGTCCATTTGCAGTATACGACCACAATGTTGACATCGAGTGGTAAGATCATCATGTATGCAGACGATCGCTAGCTCGGACACTTAGTGGTGCTAGGTCGGTTCAGATTCAATGTCTGCAGTATGACACATCGATGCCTAATTTGGGAGATTGTATGCTTGTCGTGCTCAATCCATCAGGCTGTCATAGACTTGCCCTCTCTGACCCCCTTTGGCCCGCATTGGCCAACCTTACCTGTCAAGTTCTATTCAACTATGTAGATATAGTCCCTTCAAACCCTAATCTAGGTTCGTAGCGGTTTAACCACCGTGAATATAGACTTTTTGGCTCTGTTTATTCTTGTTGCCAACTACTCGTGTCTATTACCTAGATATTGTCTGACAATAGCCTCTCAACGAGCTGTTGTTTTCAAGTGGGGGTTCAAACTAACTAAAGATACTGTGTTGATTACACTAGCGAATCTACTAAGATTCTACTACAAGAGTTTTGCAGTTTTCTGATTACAATCGTAAAAGTTGTACCGCTACAATTATAACCAAACTCTCGTTTGGTTAAGACAACAGCTTGACCAATCATCTGCGCAGGAGTCTTGTAACTGAGAGCTCGCTAATAGGTGACAATGGATTGAGCGCAACAGGTAGAATATTGCGGTCAAGTACCGGTAAATGAGACTTTGAGGAAACTACCAGCAAGGCAGTTGGCACAACGCCACAGATTGCAGCTAGGCTTTCGCCCATCAGAGAAAAGCAACAGCAGCGTTTGTTCAACTGGCGGACCAGGCGTTACGAGAACACTGTGCTTTAGAAGACAACCCCGCGAATAGGTAAGACTAGGTGGTGTAGTAGCACTATAAATCCTAGGCCTCACCCGTCCGTATACCCTAGGGGAGGCTTTTAGATAGGACGTTAAATCTGAACACACACACACACACACACACCAGCAAGGCAGTCTTAGTAGTGTGTATGATCACGTGATATAGCTGGTTGGAACCTATCATTCGGCTTTATAGTCTTCTTAGAAAAATAATGTATCGGGGTAATTTCGCTGCTTATTTCCATTAATTTGTTGAGGTTGCTAAATTGCTTTTGCTCGGGTACGAATACATGTGCAGTCTTGAGAGTGCAGATGCAACGATTCCCCTGGTCAGCAGTTCGGAAACTGCTTGCAACTTTACGTAGTACTACCCAAGCTTCGGTGGCTTTCGGCGCCAACGTTGCATCGCGGCGGCAGGGGGCGGACATGAATAGCGGGCCTACAGGCAAGACAGCCAACGCAATCGAAATGAGTTTCAAGAGTTGCGTAAGCAGTAGCAGGAGAGGTATTGATTGTTTCGCGAAACGGAACATAGGGTTTGGTCAAGTCAGTGGGCCGTCAATACGGAGTAGTTTTCTAGGACAATGGCCACGCAAGCCCAGCCATCTTGCAATCTATCGCCTCGGAATATTTTTCTATCGTGACAGTAACGAGATCTGCATGGTGAGCGATAAGAAGAACCCGTATTGATAGGTTATCGACAAAATGCAAACAGCAGCGAATGAGATGAATTGAGTGCCAATATAGGAGGCGGTGTATGTGGCTGGGGATGCTAAAATTAGCCACCAGCCTCCTCCGGACACCTTCGGACCAGCCGCTTTGTGACGCCCGCCACGCTTAGCAATGTGCAATTCCTGTTATAGCCCTCGCCATCATATTTCCAGCCTCGTGTGACGGGCTTCCGACAAGCTCCCGAGTGGTTGTCTCCTGGTTTCGGTGGGGCCGAGGCTTTCGTAGGGCTGGGTGGCCGATGGCTGGGATGTGGGCTGTAGTACGTACGTGTGTGGGGATGGCTAGAATGTGCTCTAGGGGATGTTTGTATATTTGGATTGAGCTATAAGGGATATAAGAGTTGCCGTCGTCAACACATAAATTAAAGTCTCCCCATTCACATCAAGTCTACAAACACATCCTTCAGCTACTAAATCCCAATACCCTCATCCTCGACAATCTACCACCGAATACTCACCACTCCAACCAAAGCCACCATGCAATTCTCTATCATCTCCGTCGTTGCCGCCCTCGCCGCTACTACCTCTGCCTTGAATCTTCCCACAAATGGCACGGCCACCTCGGCACCCTACCCTACCGGCACTGGCGCTGGCTCTCCTAGCAACGCCAAGCCTACTTCATCGACCCTCCCCTTCACTGGAGGCGCCTCGCACATGGCCGGTTCCGCTCTCGGTCTCATTGTTGCTGGTGGTGTTGCTCTGGTACGTTTACGCTATCCCACATATATCAGAGATCCTGGCTAACAATCCTTTAGATGATCTAAAAACCATGAAAGATATGTCCTGTTTTATCATCAATGTTTAATAGTTATAGCGGGTTACAATTTGGCGCATGGTTATGATATTTGGCGTTTCTACGACTTTCGGGATTACACAAGACGCAATAACAAGCATGGAGGCGCATTACAACCTGCATGCAACGAAGAATAGATATATAGAGAAGCGATATCCCAAGAAGAGAGGTGAGGCCTGGAACTTGTTAATGGTCCAAAAGCCTACTGAGAAGGAAGTCGATGGGGTTGGATCTACTATGGTCGATAAGGCCGAAACAATCAAATCAAGTTAAATCCACATCATATCAAGATTATATGACTTCAAAATTTGATGTGAACCTATTCTATTCTTACACTGATGTTAAATTTATTGTGAAAAATACACACGTTTTTTTGGTAGGATGGGGCCCTTTGAATTTCCTGTTTGGGATGGCGCGGAATGACGCGCGACGCGACTTTCGCAATACGCAACTTTCCAACTTCAAATGGTTGTAATTCTTCCCATTTCACTACGCCACAGCTCCAATGGCCAAACTACATGATAGCCTACTCCAGGGCGAGCCTTTGTAAGACCACCTCTCTCCTAGAGGATAATTGCTAATAGCAACACCAGTGAGGATGCACCGCTCCCACCGTCCCGAAATGCATCTGCATACAACCCGCTTCACAATTTCGTATTACCGCAAGGCACCGATAGACATTACTCACAACAATTCGCTGATATGTACTTTCTGCGTCTAATGCAACTAAAAAAGACGGTGAAGGAGAGAGCTGAGGAAGCCTGGCACAACTTTGAGGTATGCTTTGCTCGACTGCGGGGCTATACAGGATTGCCAGTCTTGCATGGCTGACATACATTTAGTTAGGTGGACAGAAAGCAAGCTTCGTTGACCGTGTGCTTGATGTACGACAAGGCGAACTGTGCTGGGTAGTAGGGACGGTGTACATGGAAATGGCACAGAAGCCAAATGTGTTGGACGATATTGGTAAAGACGTACGATCCTCCCCCAAGACTCGAGAAATGAGAATCTAATAGCCTTCAGCACTGGATAGCCGATCCTCCTCAACGCGATACCTACATATCTCCCTCTGGCGGCGACGAGATGATGCTCGAGGATGAGTCGGGACGCCTTCGAGTCACGGGCGAACCTCTGCACGGCCACTTTGTCACAGGGTGTATACTTGCAGCGTTAGGTACGGAGGAGGCTGATGGCACATTCAAGGTCATTGCAACACAATGCGCTGACCTACCGAGACAACCACTGCGCTGGGAGCGTGACGACATAGCGCTCTCAAAGGAAAAGCAAAGCATACCAAAACGCGAGCCCGCCGGAAAGCTAGCCATTGTGTCTGGGCTGGAACTTACAGGCGCAGATGACGATGAGGTAGCGCTGGATCTACTCGTGGAGTACTTGACAGGAGAAGCGGCAGACCCATCAACACAAGAAGATGCCTCGAAAATAACACGCCTAATGATAGCAGGAGGCTCGTTAGCACGCGGCTCACCAATTCTATCACGAGAAGACTTTGCTGCGAAGAAGAGCGCAGCCAGACACTACGGATACGATGCCTCATCATACAATGCAGCACCAACTGGACGCCTCGACGAGTTTCTCTGCGAGATACTGCCTACCCTCCCTATCACCATGCTCCCAGGCGCATCAGACCCCTCAAATGTCGCCCTCCCCCAACAGCCCCTCCACCCCGCGCTCTTCCCCAACACCAGACTCTACGCCGAGCCCCGTATCGCCAGCAACGAAACCCTCAATGGCTTCGACGCCGTAACAAACCCCTGGACCGGCGACATTGATGGCTACCGCGTCCTCAGCACGGGCGGCCAAACCGTCCAAGACCTACTAAAATACTTTGAGCACGTCAAGTCCGTCGACGCAATGGAAATGATGCTCCGCTGGCGTTGTGTGGCCCCTACCGCTCCGGACACCCTATGGTGCTACCCCTTTCAAGACCATGATCCTCTCATGTTGACCGAATGCCCACACATGTATATTGCTGGCTGCCAAAAGAAGTTTGAAAAGAAAATCATAACGGACCCAGCGGGCCAGAAGGTGCTGATTGTTAGTGTACCAAAGTTCCAGACCACTGGCAAGATCGTACTTGTTGATATGGAGAGTTGGGATGTCGAGGTTGTCAAGGTTGGAGTGAAGGGGCAAAAGAAGAGCAAAAGGGAGGGGTACGCGGCAACGGAGGAGGAGGAGGAGGAGAATGGGTATACCAAGGTAGAAGAAAATGGGGATACCAAGATGGAAGAGTTGGAAGAGTAGTTGTACACATGTATGCGAATTGATACCCAAGTCCTTGGTGCATGCACAACAAATCTAGACCACTACTTCAATTTGCGCACTGCGGTTATCATTGTGTTAATGGATGTCCAAGCTCTTTGCCTGTTAAAATCAGGGTCCTAAGCTGCATCAAAGGATTCCGTCCTAACCCCAAAGTAGACGCCGAAGAAAAACAAAAGCCTTGGACAATGTCATGCGCGAAAGCTTAGCCCTCCCCCTTCCCGCCCCGTCATGTTGGGCATTGCGTAGAAATGATGTTATCAGCCGTGTGATCTGCAGCCATCAATCTTGGGCGGGGGCTTACGTAGCCATGTTTGAGACATTCCCTCCTCAAAAAACACAGAGATACCGCGCGTCTGATTAGTGTGATGTCACATATCACTTTCGCGCTGCAAAAAGACTGGGAAAGCCAAAACGATGAAACGTGGATATTCTAGTGTACATACGCATGCGCAAAAAAAAAGAAGTGGTATCTCGCTGTTTCTTGCATCGACGTTCCTAACCCAAAAAGAAGAAAAAAGGCATTAATCCAATGATGTGCCTACAACGCCTGTAATACTCATGTAAAAAATTACCAATCTTCTTGTTTTGAAGTGATACACGGAATTATTTTCCATGGATTAGTCGAACAACAAAAAAGGGGGGGTGTTCGAAAAGAGAAAAAAAATTCTCTAAAGCTTGTATTGAGCCGTGGTCCATTCTTCGTATTCGCGCTTGAGTTCGTGCTGGACCCATTTGATGGTAATGGCGGCCCAGATACCTGCCCAGAGGAATGGTACGACCCAGCCGACCTAAGTTAATTAGCAAAAGCATATCACAAGAGTGTTGGAGGGATATTAGAACATACCACGTAAGCAGCGTCACGCTGAATGGTAAAGATGATGGCTGTGCAGACAGCAGAAGTGACAATGGCGCCAATGGCCCAGAAGAGTGTTAAGCGGTGAAGCATCTCACGGAACGCCTTGCTGGCCTGGTATCGGAGGTTCAATCGCTGACGGAACTCGGTGCCACCGGATCCGTCCACTGCGCAGATATCCTCGATGTAGGCATAGATACCGGGACGGAGAGGGGCACCCTGTGGCAGCGACGAGATACGGCAAGGGGCAGGGATGTTCATGATGCGTAGGATGTCAACAAGGAGAAGTTCAACACCAATTGCAAACATCATGGTTGGTGCTGGCATGGCGAGGACACGGATCGGTGGGTCGTGGGGACATGTGCCGCTGCGAAGATTTAGTATCATCCCATGGAACATAGCAACATGGAAAACTTACGCAATCAGTTCAATCATGACGAAAAACCATCCCACCGACAAATTCCAGTGAAACCAGTCGAGATACCATCTCTTAGCTCCGATGACGCGGCAGCTGGAATTCTTCTTCCACAGTCTGTGGAAGCGGATGAAATACTCAACAATCGACACGGTTCCCAGCAAGGCGGTGCTGATACTGAAGACGGCATTGGCGGACAATTGGTCGCGAGTGAGGCCGTACCACATGCCAAAGTAGAGGCCAATGGGCATGCAGACGCAGTCGAGAATAATGAGGGTCCAGAACCAGAAAATAGCCTTCTTGCGGGTTCGCAGTGAGTAGTTGAGCGGTGGTGGACGCGTAAAGTCGGGGTCATCGTATGTGACTTGGGTATGGGGGAAGAGAGCGTGTCGGTTTGGCGATGGAGCGCGACTTGGCTGTGCGCTTGGGTTGAGGCTTGTTGTATTATTGGCAGCGGTCATGTCTGATGCTTGTTCCTTGTCGTCGCTTACACCGTCAATCTGAACGGTTGGTACTGGCGTCGTGTCTATTCGGTCTGCAGTGATAGGGCGAGCGTCGTCGGCCGCCCTCAAGGCGTCTGTCGACCTTTGTTCAGAAACCATTGTTGCGGTAGCAATAAGGTGTCGGTGATAGTGCGGTAGTATTTGGGCCTCGACAAAGAAAAAAATCGGAAGTGCCGGCAGTGAGGATTACTTAAGAAACGGGGAGAGTCTTGTCCGGAAGCCAACGGGTGGGACGGAGCCTTGGATGGATAGGCGGAGTTTAGTATAAAGTAAGGGTGAGGGATTGTGTCGTGTGTCAGCAGCGGGCAGCCCGCGTGGCCCAGATATGGAACCAGCAGAAGGCTCTCGTTCAGCGGCGCTCGTGATGTCATAGGCTGCTTTTTCAGGGTCCATGGCTTGGCGCTGTCTAGGCGCCTCGGCGGTGACGCGACCAACTGCTGATTGATCCTGATCACGTCCGCATTCGTCCTCTGACCTCACCACCAAGCCTACGCCCACCCTCCATCGCCGCTCCACGTACGGGATATGTGAAGCATCTTACTGATGGGCTCTCTACGCAGCCTTCTTTTATGCTATTTTACTCTCGCTACGTCCTGGGCTGCTAGCCCCCAGGCTGATGCGACACAGCAACCGCTGGTCCGCGGAACAGCAAAAGCCACTGGCAGTAATGCCACCATAATTCCCCAGGATCTCTTCTGGGAGCTCGAAGAACTCGCGCGCATTGTCGACATCTCCTACTGTGTCGGAACCGCAGGACTGGGCATAAAGAAGCCCTTTACATGTGCGAGCCGCTGTGCGGATCGCGACTTTGAGACTTTTGATCTAGTCAAGGTGAGTCGCTGCACGTCAGCATGCGTCGCATTACTTATGTGCTGATATATGTATGTACACGTAGGCATGGAATACTGGTCCTTTCCTTTCCGACTCGTGTGGCTATATTGCGCTCTCGCACCACCCTGCTGAACCGCGATTGATTATCGCGTTCCGTGGCACCTATTCCATCGCAAACACTATTGCAGACTTGTCGACCATACCCCAGGAATACATTCCTTATCCAGGCGACGACGATTCAGATAGCGGCGGTTCGGACTTTTTTACCCCCCGAGTCGGTGTCCCGGAGAGTGTTGCGGACGGTAACGCTCCTCCGGCAGAACCGCCGAAATGCGAGAATTGCACCGTCCATACAGGCTTCTACTCGTCCTGGCTCAACACGCGCAAGGTTATCCTACCGTATGTCTCCGAAGCACTAGAAAAGTACCCGGAGTATAAGCTGGTCTTGGTAGGACACTCGTTGGGCGGCGCTGTAGCAACTCTGGCTGGCCTGGACTTCAAAGCACGTGGCTGGGATCCTCATGTGACAACGTTTGGAGAACCTAGGCTAGGGAACAAGGAGTTCAACGCATACATTGATGAGCGCTTCAACGTTACGGCAAACCACCGGCATAATAAGATTCACCGCGTTACTCACGTTGGCGACCCCGTGCCTCTGTTACCCCTGGCCGAATGGGGCTTCAGCATGCACAGCGAGGAAATCTTCATTTCAGAGTCTAGCCTACCCTTTTCCGCCACTGATGTTCACTTCTGCGATGGAGATGAAGACATGCACTGCATTGCTGGCAGCGACGAAGAAAAACCCGCATGGGGAGTCCCTACTCGCTTTAAGTTCTGGCAGCTCTTCTTTGCCCACCGCGACTACTTCTGGCGACTGGGACTATGCATGCCTGGCGGCAACCCAGGAGATTGGTACGACAAGTATCCAGGACACACCATGGGTGACGATCCGGAGGAACGAGAACCCGAGATTGAAGAGTTGTGATCTGTGGCATAACTTTTTTTTCTCTCTCTGTTTTAGCAACTTTTAATTTAGGTAGTATCGTAATAATTCATCTTTTTCGCCATTAATCCAAACGGCTTTTGAACAGCAAAGGGGAAACGCCATGCACCATGCCTAGTATAACCACGCCTGCCGTGTCCTTTTTTTCTTCTCCACGGAGAGACTGGCGGCTTTTTTAGTTTGCGCCATTCTGGCCGAGAAGCGTCCTCCTCTTTGACACAGCTGAAGCAAGGTCCTCAAGCACCGTCTCAGTAGTCTCCCAGTCGATGCACGCATCCGTAATCGACATGCCGTACTCGAGACCAGCCTTTCCTTCCTTGGGCACCTTTTGCGTACCAGCCTTGATGTTGCTCTCAATCATCACACCCATGATGGCCGTCTCGCCAGCCTCGATCTGCTCGGCGACAGCGCGGGCGACCTTGGGCTGGTTCATGTGGTTCTTCTCCGAATTGCCGTGGCTGCAGTCAACCATGAGGCGCGAGTTCATACCCTTTGACTCGAGCTTCTCGCGCGCCTCTTTGACGCTCTTTGCATCGTAGTTTGTTCCCTTCTTGCCGCCGCGCAGGATGATGAAGCAGTCGTCATTGCCAATTGTGCCGACAATGGCGACGACGCCGGGTTTGGTGACGGAGAGGAAGTGATGGGGGTGCTTGGCTGAGCCGATGGCGTCGATAGCAACGTCAAGGGTGCCGTCTGTACCGTTCTTGAAGCCTACAGGGAAAGACAGACCAGAGGCGAGCTCGCGGTGCAGTTGCGACTCAGTGGTTCTGGCGCCAATGGCTCCCACACTGAACATGTCGGCCAAGAACTGGGGCGAGATGGTGTCCAGCATCTCGCTCGCCAGCGGCATGCCCTTCTCCGTCAAGTCAGCAAAGAGTTGTCGCGAGATGCGCAGACCCTTGTTGATCTTGAAGCTGTTGTCGATGTCGGGGTCGTTGATCAGGCCCTTCCAGCCGACCGTGGTGCGGGGTTTCTCGAGGTACGAGCGCATGACGATGAGAAGGTCATCCTGGTACTTCTCCTTGAGCTTCAGCAGGCGGTCGCAGTAGTCGAGGGCAGCGGCGGGATCGTGGATAGAGCACGGGCCGATGACGACGAGCAGTCGCTTCTGAGCATCTTTGCCCTGGACAATGGCGACGGCTTCGTCGCGGGCCTTGAGCACGGTGTCGCGGGACTTTGCTGTCTGAGGGATCTCGCTCTGCAGCAGATCAGGCGGGGTGAGGGGGTTATAGCCACGAATGCGCCAGTCTTCTGAGTTGTGGGGGTCGCCGACGGCTGCGTTCTCAATGTGGAACTACAGTGAGGTGTTAGTAGAGGAAGACAGTGAATGACGACTAGGGCAGGTGGCGCGGGGTGCTAGACTTACAGACATGCTGGCGGTTGAACTGGACTGCGAGAAACCACGACTTGATGTCTCAAAGTGAGAGATTTGGAGCAGTGACTTTTGAAATTGTCTGTCTTTTTTCTTTCCTGCAGCCGCCACGGCCTCTTTATGAGTCGAATGTTTTGGTGATGACAGCGGAGTCGGACCGTCTCTCATTGGTCAGTCCCCGGCGTGCTCAAACTGTTTTCATGGCTGTGGCGGCCGCTCTCGGAATAGCCAACCAAACCTGTCCATCAATACCACACATCAGTAGCATAGAGATCGCCATCAATCCTGACGTCGAGTTTCAGGAAAGCTGCTTTTGAGTGTGCGCAACGATGGTGATTTCGCCGTGGTTGAGGTCGTTTTGCACAGTCATCGGGCAAACAAGTGCCCTGTTAATCCAACTCTCGAGTCTCAACCATATGGAGGCGGCCACATTGCTCCGACTACGGGGCTGGCACCTCCGGTCATCATTCAGCGCTAGTTTTGGAGCAGTGCTGGCCGTTGATGCTTCATGTCCATAATATACGCGACAACTTAGCACACACAGCGATTTCGCTCAGTCGCACTTTGTAGGACCAGTCGAGCCTAGGCTGTTGAGTGCCGTCATCGCTACTCCACAGCCTCTACGTCACAACTGTTGCATACCGGAAGAGCCGTGTCGCACCACTATCCATTTCATAAGTAACCATGGCTTTTCAAACTAAACAGTCAATAGCCATTTTCATGTTATCAAGATTATTCAGATACACACAATGAGCGGGCTCGACTACTCTTCCCTAGTTTCTATTCCCATCAGCTATGCGACATGCTCGCTCGGTAGCCCATCAAACCCTCCGCCTCTGCTTGACCGACTACAGGCAATCTCTGATGCAGGCTTCTCTGCCGTTGAGCTTTCGTTCCCTGATATCCTTTCGTTCGGTCAAACCTTGCTCGGTCACGAGGTACAGCCATCGAACTACGATGAACTTTGCACAGTAGCAACTGAGATCAAGAAAGAATGCGACAAGAGAAACCTAGGAATCATGATGCTACAGCCATTTTCCAATTACGAAGGTTGGCCTGAAGATTCCCCTGGCCGTAAAGATGCCATGGACAGAGCACGCGGCTGGATCCGCATCATGCAAGCGTGCGGAACAGACATGCTCCAAGTTGGATCAACCGATACGCCGCTTGAAAAACTAGAAAAGAGGAAAATGGTATCGGACCTTCAGGTGCTATGCGACATACTGAACGAGCACGGCTTCCGACTCGCCTACGAAAACTGGTGCTGGTCGACACATGCCCCGGACTGGAAAAACGTCTGGAATGTTGTTCAGCAAGTCGACCGACCAAACATTGGTCTCTGCCTTGATACTTTCCAGACTGCCGGCGGTGAATGGGGAGACCCTAGAACCGCATCTGGCATGCGTGAAGATGTTTCCAAGGACGAGCTAGAGAAGCGCTTCCAAAAGAGCCTTGAGGAACTCAGCACTAGTATCCCAAAGGAGAAGATTTATCTTCTGCAAATTAGCGATGCGTATAAGGTACCGCAGCCGATGAATGTTGAGCGTGATGAGTCCGGTCTGCTGCCTCGCGGACGCTGGAGCCACGACTTTAGGCCGCTTCCATACAATGGCGGTTACCTACCCGTTGTCGATGTTGCAAGAGCAGTGCTCAAGACGGGGTTCCGGGGTTGGTTTAGCTACGAGGTGTTTGACGGTGGATCGGATGGCAAGAAGACAGATGTGGATATCGTCGCCTACGCGCGGGCTGCTAAGAATGTGCAAGAGCGGTTGCTGCAAGAGTGCGCGGGACAAAAGGTTGAGGAGGAGATGGCGACGAGATGATATTACTGGGGAGTATTCTGATTTTCCAAGTTATGATCGCTTCGATAATGTATCATAGCTGGATTCGTAGTTAAGAGGAAGGTATGCAGTACGCATACAATCTGCCAGCCTGAAGTACATAGCAAGAATGAAAGATGACCATGAACGAGATTTAGACTTCGATGTTTCCCACGAAAAGGACACATGACAGAAATCCACCAGACTTCATATGTAGATGTTCAATAAAGCATGATAGGCAAAAATGCTCACTTTACCCTCGGTAAAACTCCCATTCCTCTCATCGTCAAACCCAAAGTATACCATCAAGACATGACAATAAGGTCGCAGCGGAACATAGCTATGCACGATAAGCGGGCCAGGCAAGCGACCAGATATCCCGTCCCCGCACACCACCAACTCCAGTGAGACAACTGCATCCTTCCAACGGCTCGCCTGTCCGAACTCCGCACGTCTCTCAAGCGCTCTCCGCACTTCAATCATCGCTTAGTATCCAGGTCCGCCTTTCCATCGGAACATTTGTCAATCTATTTCATTTGCATTCATGAGGAAGTGGGAAGCGGATGCGCGGGCCTGCTTCCAAGGCGTACCAGACTAGGACCTCGATGCAGGACGTTCCCGAACAACCCCCCAGGGCTAATGTATGCATACACCAAACGTTCCCGTTATACTCCACCACGCTACATGCGCGGCTGGAAGAGCAAAATAGCCTGAAAGGGCGAATTCCGCACACACAATATCAACGGCTAGCACATGCGCCACCAACAAGCGGGCGTTCTGGAGACATGTACATACATATAAGAAGCTTGCATGTGCTTTTTGCCAACTGCAACGAGGTCTAGATAGTAGTAGTATCTGATCCCTGGGGTTTTCGCTATACCAGCAAGTCATATACACATATACACACAAGATGCCTGCTTCAAAATCCAAAAACATCATCATAACCGGCGGCGCGCGCGGCATAGGTCGCTGCACCGCACGTCACCTTCTCTCCCTCCCCGCCTCGCACCGCGTCTTCATCCTCGACTTCGACGCCGAAGAACTCGACTACGCCGTCTCTACTCACCTCTCCGCCTACGCCCCCCGCGTAAGCTCCCACGTCACAGATCTCGCCAAGCCAGACGAAATCCGCACTGCCGTCGCGCAAGCCGCCGAGTTCTTCGGCGGCCGCATCGATGTACTGATCAACAACGCGGGCATCGCCCGCGGCTTTTTCAACGCCGGAAACGGCACAATGGAAGATGAAGCAACGGGCGCGCAATGGGAAGCGTATATCGCTACGAATCTCAGTGCACCATTCTACATGAGTCAAGCGGTGATTCCGTTCATGAAGAGTAAGAATACGCAAAAGGAGGGCGCCAAGGGTGTGGATAGGAGGAAAGATCTCAAGCGGACCGAGGAGTTTAATCAATTACCCACAAACCTGCATGGAGAAGACAAGCTGGATGAGGGCGGTTGTATAATCAACGTTGCGTCGTTTCGTGCGCACCAGTCTGATCCGGATTGTGAGGGGTATGCGGCGAGTAAAGGAGGGGTGTTGGCGTTGACGCAGGCCATGTCGATTTCGTGTCAGAGATGGGGAATCCGTGTTGTGGCTATCTCGCCAGGGTGGGTCAGCGTGCAGCATGAGTGCAAGGCACGGGATTTGGAGATCAAGGAGCAGCAGAATGGCGCGTACAAAGAGGTTGCGCCGCATGAGGAGTCTGCGCAGAAGCTGAGGATGATGGCGTGGGCCGAGGATTTGGATGAGTTGTATCATAAGCAGCATCCCGCTGGTCGGGTGGGAAGAGGAGAGGATCTTGCCGAGATGGTCGAGTATGTCATGGGAGCTGGCTTTTTGAGCGGTCAAGAGTTGATTCTTGATGGAGGTGCGAACAGGAGGAAGAATCCCAATATCTGAGTTGTTGAATCAAAAGACAAATGGTTATATTGACAGCCATGATTGCTCCACAATGCGTTGAAAATGCTCCAGGTCCATTTCAGGGAATTTTTAGATCAAATTGCCAAAGGACATGTGGTTCGAATGTCGATGCGCCCCCAACGCCACGCTATCATTCATATCAAGAAATCAAACAACGACAATGCGAGTACAGACCAGAAGGCCGCTGTTGTAAACAAAACTTGGAGACATGTTCACTTGAATAGGACTTCAATACCATCCCTGTCTTCCATCTCGTAGTCGGCCACGGTGTCCAAGGGCATAAGCCGGTCACCGTCAAACATGAGTGTGATTGGTTGGTTTTTGTCAACGCCAGTTTGGGATTTGTACGCGCTTGCAATATGAGCAATTGTAGTGTGCTATAGCTATTGTTAATATACATGACCTGCCTTGCCTTGAAGACATCTGTACATACCGGGTTCACTGTCAAGCCAAAGTCCGCCTTGCCCTTGGCACGCAAGATGACGCGGAGTTTCGTGGACACGGGAGTAGGTTCCGGAGTAGGAGTCCTTTCTTCGACCACAACAGGGGCTTCGGCAGCAAGCATTTTAGCTGCTGCTGCTGCAGCCTCCTCCTTCTTGTACTCTTTGTAAAGTTCATTGGTCCAGGCTTCGACATGGATCTTGGGGAGGTTGACGTCATCGTAAATGTTGGTGTCCCCTTCGACTGTCACATTTCCGCCGTCATCAACTGTGATGCCCAAGCGTGTGATAGACGTGCTGTCATATATACGTGTGCCCTTCCATGTGAAGAAAACATTGTCTGTATCTCTTGGGGAAAGGCCTTGTTTCGCGCACCATGCCTTGCGTGGCTTCTCGATAAAAGTGTCGACTCTGATCTTGACCATGAGGGGGTTTGTGTTTGGTATGCGCGAAGTAATGAGAAGTTGGGTGATTGGGGCTTTGGGGGCGTCACTGCCTTGTGCCGATGAGGCAGCGGCCTTTGCTGCAATGCGCGCTCGTGCTCTTGCCCTCAATGCAGCAAACATAGAGTCTTCTTCCTCTGCCTCGTCTTCGTCATCGTCGTCTAGAATGATCACTGGCGACGGTCCTGACTTGCGAACGGTCACGTCTTGTGTATGGCTGGCAGTGACCGGTGTGGGAGCCTTGTGAATACTATGCGACTCATTGTCCGAATCATCCAGCTCAACAACAGGCGAGTCCTTATGTGGCAGCGAGGCGGCTGAGGAATTGGACGTTGCTAGTGAGTCATATCGGGCAGAGAGCGAGGCCGGCGGCGATTGTACTGGAAGAGGAGAGAGGGGAGTTTTGCTGCGTCCGGGGGATGTCTTCAGTGTCGAGCTTGCGATGGCCTTCTTGTCGTCTGAATCTGACGTCCGCCGACGTTTACTGTCTCGTGGCTGCGAGTGCTTGCGTGCGCGGCGGGTCTCTTCCTGCTTCTTTTCCTCTGCGCGCCGCCTGGCCTCGTCGGCGATGATGTCGGCAAACTCATTCGAGTGGCTGAAGATGTCGGCGTCGTCGTCTTTCGGAGAGTCTTGCCAGGCTGGGCGCTTGAAGAGGGAGCGCTTTTTGGGCGGTGCCGCGCTCGGGGTGGCTTGTGTCATGGCTGTGAGAGAGGCATCGATTGTGAATGGGTTGCCTTGAACGGTGTTGACTCAGCAGTACCCGCATGGAAGGGGTAGGCGGACAGACGTGGAAGGCGGGACGGTGGGGCTTTCCCAAACGCGCAGTCACGTTGCTCGCGATTGCCATGTCCGAGTAGTAGCGACAGAAAGAGCGGGTCCGTGCGCCACCTGCTCAGTCCATTCACTCGTCACCCACCAGCACATCGCCAGCTCAAGCCAGGAACGCACCGCTTCTTACGTAAGCTCCCTCGTCCCGGCATCATCTATGCTACTACGACCATGTCGCTGAACACATGTCCAGGAACTCTCATCTAACCAGCCACGACACCATGTCCACAAACGGCGAAAGCCCAGCACCAGAGGCTGCCGCCGACTCTAGAGACCCCAGCGGCTTTCTCAGCGAGATTATTGGCGCCCCCGTCACCGTCAAGCTCAACTCTGGCATCATCTACAAAGGTGTATATGCCGCTGTCCTCGTCTCCATTGTGTGCTAACACCGTTACAGGCGACCTTCAGTCAGTCGATGGCTACATGAACATTGCCCTTGAGCGCTGCAAGGAAGTCTCAGACGGCAAGGTCACGCGCAACTGGGGCGATGCCTTTGTCCGTGGAAACAATGGTACCTTTTTACTTGCCTTGGTTCTGCCTTTTTGTTTTACTAACCTTTCATGCAGTCACATATATTTGCGCAGACAACGCATGAATATACTGGGTGTAAACCTTGAATCACCAAGCAGCCATCTGTCCATGCCTGCGTGCACGCTAGCACAATGGATGAGCTATGATGCACGCTCCCATCAGTGTCAATCGGAGCTCAGCCAAGTGTCATTGTATCAACGCCTATAGCTCAAGCCTGTGCTACACTGTCTCCATGCTCACCTGGCGGCATGCAGCTGTAATCGTACATCACACTTAAGAGACCAAAGATTCTCAACCAGTCATTGTTTACCATCTATTCCAGTGACGTTTTCAGCATCAGAAAATGCTCTACATTTTTGCCTGCTTTCGTGTAATCCACTTCTCTCAGTTTTACCTTCACCGTGATATCGCCATGTACCACCATCACCATTACCATCACATCGCTTCACCGCAATCACTCGGAAAGCAGTGAATCTTCCATGCAATGATTAACACCTGCACATGCAATGGGAAATCCACTTTGTGACTCTCCACAAACTTGAGCAGTTTTCGACTTTACTTCAACAACCAGTTTCTCTCAACACCTGTCTCTTACCACTTCCTCCCACAAACTTACTCAGCTCATTCATCCAATCCATCCCAACCAATAGTTGCAATATCACTGGACCGCGCATAATCATGTTGCGCGTTCGATTGCATGGCGAAAGCAAACAGCGTCTGCAAGAAAACAACAAGCATCACATGAATATGGCCAAACCACCACCGACAAACGACATCATGGACGACCCAGATATAGTCAAAAGAGGCATCTATTTGGCTGTTATACCCATTTATCTAGAACGCTTGCTAACTAAGCTAAGTATATATAACTCCGATTGATTCAGACCGGGCAATATACGAAGAGGATATTGGTACACATGGAAGAAAAGGAGGGTGTTTCTCCCAAATGCGGGCTTCCGCTTCAGCAGTTGATGAGATGGGTCACACTATGAAGAGCGACATCTTCCCTACGGCAGAAACCCCGATCTCGTCATTGGATTCAAGGAGTCTGTCTAGTTTCTGCAGTTCCGTGGACGATGACACCGACCCAAGCGACTCACTCCTGCTGCTCGCGCCCCTGTATATACCTGGATCCGAGAATGATGAAGCGGTCACACGAGAAATACCTGATTGCAAAACAGAACAACCCAATCCAGACGCGTCGTCAAGAACGTGGCGTGGCTGGCTCATAACGCTGTTCGCAGGACGCAAGCAAACCTTGAGCTCACACAATGCCCACAAACGAACTGACAGCTTCATCTGCGACTCTATACGCACTGAGTCGGCTTCCCACCCTCTGAAGGCTCCCAAGAAGCAGGCCACCACGACAACGCCCATAAAGAAGCAGAAGCCTACCGATTCATGCAATCACGCACCTCGACTCTTCCCAACCGTCATCCTATCCGTCTGCACACCTGCATCCTATTTCCTCACACACTTTCTATCCTACACGGAGATCTCGCCCGCCCCTCCCACCGCATACACCGGCTATGCCGTCGTGGCGCGCGACGACTACGTACCGGAAACTGTAGTCCGCGGCTTTGACGTACCCGGCAGCTCAGCAATCGTCGTGCCGTTGTCCAAACGATACAACACCGCTGCAAATCTCCTGGATCATGATAGAGACGCATGGTCGAGTTGGAATAGAAATGTCAGGTGCGCGGCGGACCTGCCTTTTGGGAAGATGCGTCCGGGATATGTGGTGATTCCTCGACGATCGGGAGTGAGTTTGAGGGACGAAACTGAGGGGTGCGAAGGGGATTGGTTGAGGTGTTGGGATACGAGTCGAGGCTTGGATGTTGGGGTGGAGGAGTGGCCGTTTAGCCAGTGTTGTTATTGGCGAGAGAGACTTGGGAGAAGCTGAAGAGAGGGAATGTGAACAACGCGATATACCATGGAAAGGGAGCATGCTATGGTAGGGTAATTCGGGTAAATTCAGGTGACTCATAAGTAATGTAATGTGTAATGCAAGATCTAAACACCCACTCTCTCACAGCGCCTACAATGTCACGAGCAGCGTGCTTGATAATATGGTCATATCTTCATTCGGTACTAACAACAAAAAAAGGAGCGTGGATATCATCGTGTTGTATCGTAATTCGTATGTCCCCAAACGCCAAAGCAAGAAACGCTAATTGCATGAACTCGTCCATCAAAACTCCCCCCAGGAATCAAACAAGCAAACAAAGACAGGTCATCACACTGTATGCAAAGCGTGAATCTCACACCTTGAGTGGCGTAAAGATGACCTTAGCACTAGGCTTGGGTAGAATGGTTGAGCGCCATGTGAAGAGGCGTTTAGCATTCGGCTCTAGGAGCTCGCAGTCGTAGTTGAGAATAACTTGGCCGAGGATGACTTTCATGACTGCTGATGCGTAGAAGCGGCCGGGACTGTAATTACGTTAGCTCATTTCTTTCACCATCATACAAGCATAAAGAAAAAAAAGGAGGCGGGAAAGTAGAGAGAAGGGGAAGTACTCACCAAGCCATGCGTCCGGTTCCCCAAACATGAAACGTCATATCCACATCCGTCAACTTAGTCGGTTTCTTCTGGAGAATCTCAAACGATCCCTTGGAATCCTCCAGAGCCTGGACAAGCGCCGGGTCCGCAAAGCGGAATCCACTGAACGTGTTGGGGGTGGGGAAGTCAACGGGGTTAGTCATTATCGCGCGGACAGGGGTACAGAACCAGTCGCCGACATTGACGTGGGTGCCGTCCTTGAGTGAGAAGGGCTGGAGGGCTGAGCGACGGGTGCTTTCTATTCTTTTGCATTAGCAACAATAGAGAAGAAAGAGAGAGAAACAACTTACGCGACTCGACAGGCGTCAACCGCGCAGACTCCTTGATAAAGCTATCCAACAGCGGCAGGCCCGTTCCCTTGCGTTCGAAATCCGCATATTGTGCCTGGCACTCTGCACGAAGAGGGGCAACGTATTCAGGGTGGAGGCAGAGATCGTGAATAGCGAAAGTGACGGTTGTAGAGACAGCGTGGACAGAGCCGAACCAGATGGCCATTAGCTCGTGGACTACGCGCTGAGGCGTCCATGGGGCGTTTTTGGGCGAGGTCTCCATGATCCATTGGATGCAGTCAGCCTTTGAGGTCACGGGTTAGTTAAGTTCAGGTACATTGAGATATACTTGTAGCACGTACATGTTGAGGCACTTTTTGGCCGAGCATGGCGGCATCGCGTTCGATGCAGCGTTCTTGGGCGATGGGGAGGAGTCGGTTGAAGATCACGGCATGGGATTTGAGGGTGCGAGCAATGATGTTGCCAACGATGCTGGGAGGTTGATGTTAGTGAGTGGATGTGCATGGGAAAACCAATCAGAGTGGTTCTAAGAGGTTACTTACGGGCTCAGGAAGCTGGGTAGCAGACGCACGATTTCGGCGCAAACCAGAGTCTCCTCAATGTATTGCAGGGCTGAGACCATGAACTGCTCATCTTTGGCTAAATAAGATGTAAGCTTGTGTATGAATAGGCTATTCGAATACTCGTTTCAGCATACCTAGATCCTTTCCGAAGAACGACACGGCGTTGGACAATACGACGAGCTTCACAGTCATGTGATAGACATCCGAATGCCTCTTGCCTACATCATTCTATTAGCTGCATTCACACATGTATGTAACTTGTACAATACCATTGATGACTGGGTGAGTAGCATGTAGCTCCTCAAACCTTGTGCGGATGATACAAGTAAGATCAGGCAGGATCTTAGGCAGATTGTTGGTCAAGAGCGTGCGAAGAGCGCGGATAAAGCCGACTCCTTCGGTGCCGCGCCTATCGAACCAATTGAAGCCATGCCTGTTGTGTGTCAGTAAGCCGCATAAGACGAAAGACTTGCATCCTTGGTTAAAACGTGGAATGGAAGTCATGTGATTTGTACGACGATAAGAAACGTCGAGCTATACTCACATTGTGTATACGGGTTGCAACATCTGAAGATTCATTAGCATTAATAGAGAATAGACGGGGCAAATTGGCTTACCTGCTTGGAAGCCGCTTGAAGTGACAAGACAGTGTCGGGAGCATTGTCAATCTCCTTGATTTGCTGAGGGTCGGATACATAGACGTAGCGGTTGTCTGGAGCAAACAGCTCGAAGGGCTTGCCACCTGCCTCATCGAATGCCTTTTGAATAATCTCTGGACCCCAGAAGAGGTACGCCCATGCCTTGTAGCGAGTTACGAAGGGGCTGAAGACATAGTTGAGAAGCTGTTGTAGTGATGGCTAGAATGATAAGGTCAGCTTTGAACTCAAAGAGATTGATATGCAGAGAGACTGAAGACGCACCAACTTCCTAGCTACGAGTGCTCTGTAGCAAAGAAAAATTGACAAGAAACCAAAGACACTGCTTGCAGCGTTGACTGTCAAAGGACTCAACGTAGGCAAGTGTACTGTTGGCAATACTAGAGAGTCCATTGTGACTATGTGAAGCGTACAATGGAAAAGGTTAAAAATGGACCGGACCTGCTGCTCGGGAGCCAGGTACATGGGCTATGTTTTGGTACATATACAAGGCCGGCCCAAGGAATCAAGACTGTCAAAGCCTGATGCCGCAGAAACCTCGGTCGTAGTGTCCCGTCGCAGCGTCCCCGTCACGCATGCTAGCAAAAGCCATCATTAGTTTTACTGTGCCGTTATCATGCAGCTCGAGGCAAGCGGCATCAGCCCACGTTACCCTCAGGTCTGTGTCAGTTTATGTAAATGCACAGCTACCATCCGGCATTGTGGAGGCGGCCGTCTATACGTGCAGGTGACGATTGGTGGACTCCATCCATAATACAGGCCATCCTAGAAGGTAGGCATGGCCGATGCAAGCAATGAAAGCGCCTACGCCCATGCACTTTCTGCACTGCGTGCTTGCTAGTAACGGCCCGATGTCAAGTAGCGTAGGATTCGGGGAATACGGTTGGACAGCGTCGGAAATGCGGCTCTACTGTATGGTCCATGCAGTGGGTGCGTAAGTGATACATGGTGTACATACAATACACGGGCGACTCTGGGTACATGGGGGTAGTTCCGCTTGTGTAGAAGCTCCGAGGACCCCCATGTCGAGCGGTGGCGCAATGCGGGACAATGTACCCGCACTGCAGGGTGGATTAAAGTGTCAAAAACGTGGAGTGAGGCCACTATCCCGGCTAATGAGCAAGCGTGTGGATAGCTTATGAATATTTAGATGTTGTGAAGGTGTGCTTGTGTCCATGTTCTTGGCATTATGTGGCGCATTGATGTTGTATCCGATTGCTCATTGTAGAGCTAGTTGCGGCGTCGGTCGTGAGTCGTGTCTGTGCATTTTACTAGTACTATGCCGCAACTAAAGCAGTCATGGATACCACAGCAAGTATATCTTTTTTTTCTCACTAAAAGATGATTTAACGACCAATCGGTGTGAGAAATTGACACATGGGTGCACCTCATATCTTGGATATCTTATCCCCATGGCCAGGGCATGGCAGATATTGCCTGGCAGAGCGTAAAGTCATAGCTTCCTAGAGTACCAGGTGAAACCCCTGCTTCTTGGTAAGTAGACTAAGACGGTGATTTGAGACCGTCCAAGTATCCAGCCGTCGAAACGATGCCACAACTCAAGGTACCTCAGGCTCACCGAACACATGTGAAATTCCGGTGAGGCACTAATTTTTCGTGCAGACTAATGCATCAGAGACCCCACCGTGGAAGGGGAATCCTGTTACGAAGCTGGGTCAACAACTCTGAGCTTCTGGAGCTGGCCCAGTGAGAAGGCGGGACTGATGTGACTGAGAATGCGGCCGGTCCATGGAGAGGGCTACTAAATGTTTGATCGGTCCGACGTTGAGTGATGACGATGGCAGACAGATGTTGCTCAAAAGTATTACCCAATCCGGCCTTACGGAAAACGCCATGATTGCTCCATCAGCCCGGGCTTGTACATGATCTAGATTGCAGCCAACATGCAGCAAGGCCGGGATACATTGCTAGCGAGGCCTCAAGGTCGCATGCTCGCCCACATAGTACGCGTGTTTTTTTTGCATGCGCATTAATTTGGCGGTTCTTGATAGGCGAGTATTCTGGGCGATTAAGCCAGCAGCGAAGCCGATAGCGCACCTCAATCTTGAGTTGACGTCTTGGAAGATTTGGCAAATGGCTCAATTGGCCGGCGGCATGTGCCGAGGTGGACTAACTCCATCTGCACCGCAACGTCGACTGCCGGCACCTACGAAAGAGGCGGTTGCCTGCATGCTCGAGGCACTGCTCTTGATAGCTGACACTCGAGCGTGCATTGGACAATACCAGTTGTGCTGATAATCGACCGGGTTTTTCGCCGTTGCATGGGACTTGGGGCAGTTCGTCCGGGCGGAGAGCGCACAGGTGCGTCACGACAACCATCCAGAGGAGGGGAACCATGACCATGTGGAGGCGCTGAGCAGAGGGCGGCAGCCGAGGCGAGTACTGTAGGAGCATGTACATGCGTATCCACACAATGGCGTTTGGCGTTCGGCTGAGCTGTAGGTATGGGAAAAGACAACCAAGACGTCTCCTCCCAGCTGGCAGGCAAGTGAACCCATAGTGGGCAGCCCCACGCCGTTCTTGTTCCAGAAGCGGCGGTCAGCCGACCCGAGCCGTGTGTAGAGCCGCGCGGTTGGCGCGCTGTCAATGTGGCCTCTACTCGTGGATGGTCAATGGCCAGATGGACTGCTGCTCCCGTCTGCGTGGGTGCATCAAGCGGTATGGACCAAGTACGTACACATCTTGTACTTGCTTACTTACTACTAGTTATGCGACCTCCTGCGCGGCTCGGATCATGGCCACTCCATTGTCCCGCCTCGAGGGGTGCGTGTGCCGCCGTCGATTAATCCCTCTCCTACTCCGCCCACATCAATGTCCATCAGTTTTGCTTTTGCCGCAATTCCAGTGCTGGATTTACAGGGTGCAACGGCTTGAACTTTGTTTTTTGCGGGCAGCGGGTTCGGGGCCCCCCGCAATCGACGTCCAACTTGATGCAATCGTCGGCCTACGACTACTCGTCTCATTCGCCAATCCCCACCCAAGGACAGAGGCTGGGATGCCAAGTCGAACAAGCGTCTTGGGCCGTCTCTGGCTGCAGGCACCCTGGTCCGGCGGATACGACTGTATCGATTGGCTTTAGCGCTGTCGGCGCATGGTAGGACTCGCACGCCATCCCATGTGTTGCTGCTATCGCCTAGAAGCGTGCATGAAAGATGGAACCTCTTAAAGGGTTTTTTGGAACCCAGCAGTCTCTGCTCTGCTGTTGTGCTTCAGTGATTTGTGCATAGAGCCATGGAGCTCATCATCACGCCCACACAGGCCCTCGTGCCTTTGTCTATCCTCTTCGTTGTCTACCATGCTATTCGCGCTTTGTTTTTTGGGCCTCCGGAATCAAAGCACTGGAAAGAGCTGCCAACTGTAGGCCTAGGAAAAGGATGGCTCGCCTGGGTATGGGCTACTCTAAAGTCTGTTCGCAAGACGCAGGATTGGGCCTTTGAAGGTTATCGCAAGGTATGGCCCGCTACAATGTTTGCGTGCCAATTACTCAACACCTTGTTATCAGTTTGCCGGCTTAAACAGTCCCTTCATCTTGCCCAGCATTGACAGAGGTGCTATGATCATTTTGCCACCCCGTCTCATCAAGAAGGTCTACTCGCTTCCAGAGTCTACGCTCGACATCCATGCCACGCAGAGCGAGACTATCCAAACAAAATGGACCGTCTGGGACAAGGAGGTAGCAGACAACGACTTTCAAATCAATGTTGTGCGCCACCAGATTACCAGAAATCTTGAACATCTGACTCCACTCATGGCCGACGAGCTCGACAGAGGCTTCGATCGATGGTGGGGCGAGAAAGGCGACACGACATGGAAAGAAGTCAAAGTCTGGGACGCCTGCTTAAAACTCATCGCTGGTGCCAGTAATGGAGCTTTCTGTGGCGCGCCGCTATGTAAGTTTGCAGCGACGAGATCCAGACACTACCATACTGATGCTTTTCTCTAGGCCGTGATGAAACTTTCCTGAATGATCTCCGAGACCACGCCATGAGCATCTTCGCAGGTGCTATGCTTATCAATGCGTCGCCTAAGCCATTGAAGCCCATCACGGGTTTCTTGGTCGGCTCAAACTGCTGGTACCTGCGACGTAAGGCTCTGCGAGGCTGTCTGCCATTTGTAACAGAACGATTGGAAGCAACGGCTCGTTACAAGGCTGACCCAAAATGCGGTTGGACACCACCGGTACGAAATTTTCTTTCTGACATTTGTAAAATTGTACGCTGACTCCAAATCCAGAAAGATGGACTCCAATGGCTTATCGACGAGTGCTACCTTGCTGCCGCCAAAGGCGATGTCGGTCAACTGGAGCCTAAACGCGTAGCCCACCGTCTCTTGCTCGTCAACGACATCTCCCTGCACTCCACCAGCTTCACCGTCCAAAATGTAATTCTCGACCTCTTCAGCTCCGACCCCTCTCTCGGCTACGTCGACGCTCTCCGCAACGAAGCCAGCACCGTCCTCGCAAAATCCGGCGGCGTCTGGACCCGCGACGCAGTCCGCGACCTCAAGCTCATCGACTCCATGATCCGTGAATCCATGCGTCTAAACCCCTTTGCAATCTGCGGACTCCCCAGAACCGTAAGTTCTTCCTCCTCAACCCTCCCAAGCACGCGTGTTTCTAAACAACCCCCCACAGGTCGTCCACCCAGAAGGCATCCGCCTCCCCGTCTCAAACATTCACGTCCCTCAAGGAACCATGATCGCCGTCCCCATGGAGCCCATCCACTACGATGAGCAAATCTATCCCCAAGCCCGCACTTTCAACCCCTTCCGCTTCGCCGACCCCACAAATGTAAGCAACATCATCGACAGCTTCACCACCAAAGAGGATCTCGAGGCCGCCGCCAAAGAAGATTCGACGGACCGCAAGGCCAAGTCTACTGCTACCCTCGACGATGCTTTCCTTGGATTCGGCTTCGGCAGGCATGCGTGTCCAGGCCGCTTTTTCGCGCTAAACGAGATGAAGGTATTTATCGCGCATATGCTGCTGAATTACGATGTTGAGCACATGGCCGTGAGGCCGAAGCCGCTGGATACCGTGTGGCTCAAGTTGCCGCTGCACGGCGGAAAGATTCGCGTCAGAAGACGGAACTAAGTATATGTAGTTATGACTTTAACGAAATAATGATTTTTTTTTAAAATTTGCACAATCGTCATCTTCCATAAGCCTTCTGTATGTCATTACAATTGTTTTCGCAAGCACAAGTGAGTCGTATACAACGCTCGCATGTGGGTAGAGTGATGAAAGACGCATTTAGCTCCCAGCACCTCGCCAAGCCCCGTCCAAGCCCCGTCTCCATACATATTATTGACAAGCTTTCTTCTGCTATATAGGTTCGCATTTGAACGGGGTAGCGGTTAGGAAGAAAAAAGTT